GGAATGAAGCACCCTGCTTATTCATTCTGTCCATTTTCTTTTGCATTAGCACCTGTTCTGATATTTACTTACTTACTTTTTTAATTTAAACTTCATACATTTATAAATCTCATTGGATAAGGGTCAGGACCTGCTACTAGCAGATGCATTCTCTTTTATATTCTCAGACTGGCTGTACTAGGGACAACAGAGTTTTGACCTATGTCAAGATATGACAGCAGTTAAAATTTAAAAGGAAATAAACAAGGACACTGCTGCTAGAACAAGAAGTCCCTAGATTCTTGGCCAAAAGTTAAACCTTATGATAGTATATTAAGACTGATAACTCTGTTAGTGTGCACTTATATGAGCTGCTTATATGTGTAGCTGATGCTGTAAGAGGAAAGCATTAACAATGCAAGTAGACTATACAAATAGTGAAACCACAAAGGAACATTTGATGTCTTCAGCTCCTACAATTATGAGCTCACTTAAGTATCTGGAGATAGATGTGCACTATTAAACACTGTTTTGAGCTCCGATTAAAGACATACTGCATTGGTCAGGGATAGTTTTATAGTTATAACAGAACTTTGGATTAAATCTTGTTAATCTCAAAAGATGTTAAAACAGAATATGCCATTTTTATAGTCTTACACAATGCATACTGCCCAGCTTTTGCATGTAGCATCTTTTTCAAAATGCATAGTTGATGTCTCCAAAACTGCTTCTCCTCATATATGAAAGCTTTTCTTTTCTTTGTTGCAGTTATTATTTTTATTTAATGTCAGGAAATTAAAAAGAGACTGAAAATGCATAAGGTTTTACATCCGAATTCATTGGAAAAATGAGTCATAGAAGTTATTTTTGGCATGGTGCTCTTACAATTAAGCTCTAGAACATTTCTACCATCATAAACAGACTTTACCATTTTGTATTAGTTTAAAACAATATTCTGTATGAGATTGAACAAGCTCTCAACCATGGAGATGATACAAAACCTATGGAGAAAGGAAATTACAGCATAATGGAAATGATGGCTGGGAGCCATACCACCCAGATCTGTTAGCTCATCTGAACAGAAATGCCAGGCTGAGCTGATTTGGTCAGTGCTTTGCTTGGGATCTCTGAGGAAACCTCCAAGGTTGCTGAAGGAAGTGGTGGCAGCAACATTGTAGGTGGTATTCTCTGTTCTTGAGTCACCACTGGGTCAATAACCTGTGTGATGGGAGCCAGCAGGATCCTATTCTCCCATGGAAGAGCAGCGGGCATGATGTGAAACCACTGTCCTGAGTATCAGGAATTGTTTCAAGACCATCATAAACTTTGTATGAGGAGCAGACATGATGACCCTAGCTGATCACATTTCAGTATCAGCCTTTCTTTCATAATTTCTCCAAATTGTTGCAGTACTTCCTCTTCCTTGGGGCGGGAGAATAAAACCGGGAATGTCATGCCAGGATGATGGAGTACTGAAAAACGTTAGACTCCATTGAAAGAGACTTTCACTCAAATCCTGTCATTAACTTGAATGAAATTTGGATCACATCTAGAGCCCTTAGTACAGAAAGACTGTGACAGGACTAATGTGTTTTTGAAGGAGCTCTTCCCTTTTCACGCCTTTCCTGTTTGAGCAATGCTGCCTTTGCCTTTCAGCCATAATCACCAGCCATTACTCAGAGATGCTGTCAGGCCCCATCGTGCTCCCAGGGCAGCTCGACTCCAAATTGTTCTCCTCCCCAACCCCACTATGGTGTAGTGACACTATGACATTACTTTCTCCCCAGAAACAACGACAGAGATCTGATTTATAACTGGTGGTAAAACTTTATTATTCAAGTTTAGATGTAACAGACATCTTTGCTGCCTGAAGATTGTTTGCATAAGAAATACACCAAGAACATGTTTGTGAGTAGAAATGAACATGCACTATGAAAACCAAAAAACAAAACAAAACAAAAAAAACCCGAAACAAAACAGAACAAAAAACACATCCATGTGTTGTAAGGACAAAACATTAAGAGCCAGCATTCTAGAGTCAAATCAGGGCTACAAGTTTAATGATGGTTTTTAGCAACATGAAGTCATTTTATATGAAGTAATTTTTTTTTTTTTTTTTTTTTTTTATTTTTTCCTGCTGGTGAATTTTCTATAAGCTAAATTTACAATGGCATTTTGAGATGTTTCCTTTTCTCCTGTTCTCCTACACAGAGCTCAGAGGCCAAAATGATAGGAATGGAAAACTGTGGTAGTTGTTACAATGTTTTTACTTTACGAAGTGTAATTTTACTTCCCCAGTAAAGGAATTTTACTAAGTGTAACAAAGAATCAAATGAAACTGGTATTTATCTGGCTGTCAGCCATTTAATTATTGTCTTTTATCCTCTTAAAGTAAATTGGGGTGTGTGTGATCAGTATACAGGTAGCATCTCCCCAACTGCCAGCTTTCCAGAACTGGCTGAATGAAATAAAAACTGTGAAGAAGAGGGTAGTGAAGAATCCTATTCTGAGGTGAGAAAAATTAAGTAAATAATTTTACTTGGCCCATCTTAACTTTAGAGAAAAGTTTAGAAGGGATTTCTCACTTATCTATCACATTTGGGATATGCTGACAAATTACTCACTGCTCTTTGCCAAGCATAACTGTCTCCACAGAAGCAGAAGGAAATATATCTACCCTTCTGGCTGCACAGAAGCGACCTTCTAATCTCCTTGGCTTTTCCTGACCAGTATTAGGAATTAGCATGTTAAGTCAGCCAAGAAAAATCAATACAGGAGCAAAAATGAGAATATATTTAGACATACTGGGCAAAAAAGCAGATGGTAGACAACATCCTCAGCACATAAAGCAAGTAGTTATGACTACAAAACAACAGTGTCCAGTCCAAGGGTGGACTTGAAAGTCCGTCCCTGAACTGAGTACTAATCCACAGTTGCCAAATCAGTTTTTCCCATTGCACAATCACTATGTTTCAGCACTGTATACAATTAGCATCAGTCACTTGTCCTGCTGCCCCTCTAACTGCAAAAAAATAATCAATTGTACACAGTGTGTCTCAAACTTTTGAGATGTCTCAATTTTTTCTCTCTTTAAAAGTGTCACAGTAGACAATAGCGCCTTTTTTAGGCAAAACCAAGATATGTGCATCCAGTGTCTTTCCCCCTTTCTGGATAGTCCATGAAAAATTACGGGAAGAGTTTCATCAGCACAGTGGCAATTAGGTGCAAAGTACCTTTTGGAAAGTACTCTAAGTTTAGCACCTGAACAGAAACTGTGCTCTGAAACATCTTCATCTCCTGCAGCATTGAGGGGGCAGCAGCCATGAAGTGACAGCTTGGAGACAATCTGGTTTGCAGATGATGTCACAGGATGGCTCCATCTATACAGAGAGTTACTGGAAACATTGTGCCTGTTCCACAATCTGATTAGTGACAGGCACCACAGATCCTCTCATTTTGAAGCATATACTTATTTGGTTGTCCAATTTGGGACATGTTTTAAGATCTTAAACTACCATTTCTTTAGTAAGAGAAGTTCGCCACCTTGAAGCTGACAAATTGAGAACAAAGACTGATCCTTTGAAAGTTCAATTTTTAGTGCTGTAAGTTGGTTGAAACACAGTGGGTGCAGTAATTACTTGTGTGTGCTAACATTGGTTTCCATCTGAAAGTTATTAAATGAGATTATTCTTTTCCAGTGTCAGGATTTTTTTTTTTCTTTTTATTAGTACCCATTGTGAGGGGGTCTGGAAGATGGATGGAGTCACCTCTCTTTTGTTAAGAAACAAAACTGTGCTCCCCCTATCCCGATCAAAGAGAACAGGCTACAGCAAAATCCCATTTCTTATAAAGCAGAAATCTTAGAACATCTCAATATGTCATGGCAAGAACAATGAATGTTTTTTCAAATTTTATTTGCACCATCTAGGTGTGCAATAGTAACACTCAAAACTCTGTCTTGTTCTTTGCACTCATAAGATTTCATTTCTCCTCATCCCCAAACCCTGATATGTGTATTTCCTGTTAATTTGCCTCTGCTTCTGAGTTTAGCAAGAAGTGTTATGAAGTTCAGGGTAGTGCTCAAGTCTTACAATGCACGTGTCCCTCTAAAATATTTTGCCATGAAGATGCAGCTTCTGTCAATGAAGAAGCCAGAGGAACTGGTAGGTCTTAAGTGAAGTAAGTCGAACCAGTAACTACTGAAGGTCGGCAGGCAGCTACCTTTGAAGCAGATAAAAATCACTGCTTGCTGAGTATAACATCTTCCTTGGAAAAGCTGAAAAGGACACACACTGGACCCTGACGTAACGAAACGAGGGCAATCTATTTCAGTCCCCACAGAAAAAAAAAAAAAGAAACAGAAAATACCCAACAAAAATAAATCCACAAAAACCAAGTCAGAACTTATTACTGGAGAACAACAGTAAAAACATAACCAGACTTTGTCACTGGTATCAAGCTGGAGATTCATCTAAAAAATAGAAGAAGAAGAATGTGGCCCAACATCCTTTGCTAACCTAGAACACTACTGAAGGGTTACAGAACTCAACCACAGCAGATTGAGTGGGACGTTCCATATGCTGCTCACCAGTAAAGAAGCAATGGGTGGAGCAGGAAGGAATGCAGCCTAATGCTGAACAACAGCCTGTCTGTGCCTAACAAATCAGAGAAACTGTGCAATAATGTTTCACCTCTGTGAAAATATAACACCTAAATACTGCCAAGGTCAGTGAGACCTTTGGTGATCAACTGTGTAAGTGCCTCTCACGCTTGGTGATATTTGTTGCCAGCTGCTTTAGGCACATTATTTCTCAAAAGACTATCAAAGTGCTGAATGTTTAGGCCAGTTCCCTCCTGGTTTTCCTTTTGCCAACCCCTATAAGAAATTTCCTATCACCTCTCCTTTTATTTTCCACCTCCCTGTTTATCTGGTTAAGTATCTTAATAAGTGCACCAAATACTAGAAGGGAGAGTGGTGAGACTCAGGTAAGTTAAATACAAGAACTTTTTTTTTTTCTTTATGATGCTTTAGTTCAATTACATGAAAATCTGAGAAAGGCGGCATGTAAGTGAGATCAGAATAGGACCCTTTACATATTATCTCAAGAGAGGACTTTGAGTCCAGAGATATTTTTATAGAACATTTTAAAAAATAAAATGCATGAATTGAGAAATAAAAGACAACATAATATCAGAAAGACATTTTAAACTTCATTCGCTGCAACATTCATGAACCAGTTGAGCTACACCTGCCATCCAACCATAAGGAACTAAGACCCTGCACTGCGAAAAAGAAACAAACCCAAACAAAACAAAAAAGCAACTGCGTAATATTGTAAAAATGGAGTGCAATGCTACTACAGAATGCAATAAAATATCAGTGCTGCATCGTCAAACAGCACTTATCAAAATAATTTCTGAAATGTTTCTTCTGAAACACAGACAAAGCAATAAAAAGAGGATATATGTTTATCATTTTAAGCATAACAATGTGAGTTAAGAGCTTAAGAATACAAAAGTACTTGGAATGAATAGTGCTACCCTTTTTTCCTAAGTAGGCATAAAAATATTTTCATTTCCTTCTTATTTTTCATACCATTAATATCAACAAATTTCATTCATTTCATGTTATCGTTTACAACTTTAATGCACACACACAGAAAAAAAGATACCTACTGCAATAGAAATAGTTGCTTCATTACCTTGTTTGCTACATTTGCAAATGTAAACAGCGAGGCAGAGCCAGAACTGACTCTAATGCATGATGGAATATCTTTGTTGCATACGTACACTGTAGAAAATAATTATTCAATATGTCAGGCACCATTATTTGAAATGTAATACATTAATATTTACTAGAAAAATAAGGTTTTTTTCTATTTGTTCTCCCAACTTCTTTAATGAAATAAGTTAATCTGACAGTGCATCCAGTAGCTTGTAATATCTTCTACATCCCTGTGGCAAAATAATAAACTACTGGTTGGGACACTATAATGAAAATGATTAAAGTCAGTTCTTGTACACCCTTGTAGCAAGCATGGAGGCTCGTCTAACAGCACCTTTAACCAATTATTTAATATTTAGTTATTTAGCCCTATTTCCCTGAGCAGTTATGCTGAGGAGCTTTCCCTTCATGGATAGTTTTTAAAAAGCTTTATGTATTAAAAAGTACTATGAAGACATTTAATGCTACTTAGCAAAAGCTGGTATAAGTCTACTGAAGGGATTGACTGGTATGTATAGCAATGTTAAGCCTGTGGAGAAGTAACCTTAGACTTTAAGGTTTAGAAATGTAATATATTAAAAATATATTAAAATAAAATACAGCAGGTTACCTTATTCTATGCAAATTAAACCTGGAGTGTGGCTTCTGTATTAGAGAATTCACTTGCGCAAAATGGTTTTCCTAGACTAAAGTGTGCCAGAAAGAATGTAGTGATAAAATGGTAGCTAAAAATCAGCTGAGTCTGAGAAACACATAGATGACACTGCTGCCAAAGCTCTGAGGACAATGTGATCCTAAGGCATGTTGTAGGGCAGAAATTTGCCCAAATTAAAGAAAAGAAAATGACTTTTTAACATCTGTATATTTAACATGTCTAGTTCTTATATACAATGTGCATATGTTCACTACACCCCTGCAGCAGTATATACATATACACATCTTTGCACTCTTGCCAGTTATGTCTCTTACACAACAGCAAAGGTATAAATTGTCCAGTAAAATTTTCTCAAGGTTATTCGGCATGATTCACTGCATTCTGGCTAGCTTTGGTGGGCCATGTCCCACTGAATTATCTTCCTCCCCTTCTGGCCACCATCCAACTGTTCTTTTTTCTTGGTAACCCACTCATTTAAAAGAAAAAAAAAAAGAAAAAAAAAGAAAACGTAAAAAAAAAGAAAACAAAAACAGAAAAAATTAAGAAGAAAAAGAAAAAAAAAAGAAAATAACAAGGGATTTAATATTGGATAAGGCATGCTCTCTATATGAAGTGCTTTATAGGTCTTCACAAGACATTACAAGCTATTGAATTCCCATCAAGGAAACCTATTTCTGTTTAATTGTGCTAAGTGCTAAGGTTTACTCTTTAGGTTTTCCATTCTTTTCAGCTTGTGCATTGTTCCTGTGTAGGCCCCTCTGGATGTGAGTTGTGAAGTCATACTTGTCCGTGCAAAGATGCTGGCATATGCTGCACTGGAAAGGTCCACTGTCACCGTGGCAACTCATATGCAATGCATACATCACTTCATCCAGAAAGACAATGCCACAGTGCACACACTTGGTAGAAAGTTCATCTTGAGTACTTCTATCAACTTTCTCTGTTTTTACTACATTCAAGGGACCTTCATTTTTTACATTTGGTGGTGCCTTACTCTTTTCCTTGGAGGCACCATTTGCAGTTGGCCCAGGTCTGGAATGCTTTATCGCCAAATCTAGAGGAATGTCATTGTCTGATCCGACAGCTGAAAAATGAGGAGGCAGATTAAAGGTGGGATAAGGCACATAGTTTTGGCAAGGATTTGGTAGGCCAGGCACATGACTCAAGTAGTGTGGATTCCCAGGAACAGACAGCTTATATTTACTCCAGAATCTCAGCCAGTCAGCTTCACTCTGAAAGTCATTGTGTACAAACGGAAGTCCAAAAAGTGGGTACTGGTATTTTTCAATCGGGCTTCCAGGTGGAGAATAGTTTGGGTGTTTCACAGGTCTCATGTATTTTTCTATTGGGCTGCCTCTCTCTGAGCTTCCTTTCCCTTCTGATATCGATGAACTGTTTCCTGGGTCTCCAGTACTTTCCTGAGGACTTTTTATCTGAATGTGCAAAGGTTGCATCCTTTTGTGAATATCCAGAGTTTGGCTGACCAATATTGGCTGCTGAGCAGAATGGCTTTTAGTCAATGAACCTGGGGCCTCGTATTTACTGAGGCTGGGAAGCTGAATTTCTCTCTGATGACCTTCAGGTAAATGATCCTCTGACCTCCTCTCTAAGGGGCTTCCATTGACTTGCTCCTCACTGCTACCCCTCTGCTGTTTGTTTAGCTGCTCAGCCTGAAGTGCCTCCGGGTTAAGGCGCTTTCTTGTTCGTCTCCTAATGATCTGTTCACCATTGTTCTGTTTAATGATGTTTAAAGGCCTGGGAGTCTGCATGGAACACACAGAGAATGAACAAAAGGGAGAAAGAAAGACACATTAAACAAATATGTGAGACAAGGCTCATGCAAATTTATCTTTTCTTTTGTGAAGAGCTGTATTACAACATTGTTATAGGAATGACCAAATTTCAATCCAAATGCAGGTTCATGGCCCCTTATGCTGAAAGTAAACTATAAAATGGCTTGTTTTATCAACCTGAATCAACCATCTTAGACATCCTGTACCTATTTACTTAAAAAGGCATGAAGAATCCAAGCTGTCAAACTATTTATTACCTCTAACTCCTAAAAATTTCTGGGAGAGACATGTTGAAAGTGGGTGCTGAGGTGGGAGGTGCAAGGCCCTATGCACTCGTGTTGTTCTATGCACCGTGTCCCCAGAGCTGCTCTCGGGCAGGGGTTTGCACAGGTCCCACTGGGACGAGAACTGAGCAGTGAACTTACCTTCATACTCACCCTGCCCTGACATGGACAGAAAACACAAGGACACAGAGGGCTTGCTGGCCACCATTGCTGTCACATAGCAAAAGGGCTGCAGGTCCACTGTGTGCTGAGTGGGATGATGGTGGCTAGAAAGGGACTATGAGGAGAAGAAAGCCCAGGAAAGCTATGCACCAAAAGATCTACCTCTGCTTTGGTTCAACTGCCCCTCCTTCACCCAACTGCATTGCTTTCTAAGTGTTACTGATGTGCTACTAAGTCATGAGGGAGAGAAGGCATCCCCTGAAGGCAGGGGAAAAGGGATCTGTAAAGAAATAAGCATCACAAAGAGGCAGAGGGAAGAACCAAGTGAGGGCTTCTGTTTCCATTTGCCACTACCCCACATCAGCTCATGTGAAGTGGCCTGTTTAGAGAAGAAATGAAAATACTTTTGTGTGGAAAACAAAAAAATGGTACAAGTAAGGACAGCAGTTAGGCCTCCTTTAAAGGCTCCCCAAGAGAAAAGCAATAGTATCTGAATGAAAAACACCAGCAGTATGTTTCTCTACTGAGCAGACGGTAGAGCAAAAAAAACTACCTAAAAGTCATTCAGTTTGGTGTGTTGGCAGCTGCTTCCCAAAGGCACATAATCCTGTTTTGGTTGGAGGCCAGAAAAGTGCCCCCCGCCCCAGCATTCCACTTATATGTTTATTTAGAGATTTTAACATTGTTTTAAAAAGCAGATTTAATTTTGGCTTACAGTCAATATCCAAAGTAATCGGTACCTTGAATGTAACTAAATTTTTAAATATATTCATAACTTCAAGCTAATATGAAAACATCCAGAGCTGGAAGAACACCCATTCTATTATTTGTAGAGATTTAGTCTCTCTCTTGAGTTGCCATATTCCTCTCCTTTCACGTATTTCTTTTTCTGCAGTTGGCTTACTCTTAATGGTTAACTACATTTTAGACAGTGCAGCTATTTTTTAAGATTTTACTTTTTATTAAAATGCTGAATCAGAAGTATATACACACTTTGATGTAGATTTTTAATAAGAGAAATTTAAACTTGCCAGAAAACAGCACCTGAACCAACCTCCTCACACAGATCAAAGCTGAGACAAAACTGTGTTTAAAAAAATTACAATATTTTTTATGTAAATTTTATTCAGATAGATTATAGTTTGCACAATCAATAGCCAATTAATATGCATAGGGATATACTTTTTATTATAAGGTTTATTATAAGACCTGATAATAAAAGGCAAGGCTATTTCCTTGCCTTTTTATGACAATTTTAACTCAGATGCTGTGTGAGATCTTATAATGTTGCTGCTGCTCTTATTAAATGTTAAACACTACAGACCTTTTCTATGTAGCTTCCACATAACTCTCCAATAATTTAGAAACACTTTTAGTCTCACTCTTCATGCTACAGGTAGGAGGTCTGATTATGGGAGTAGTTGAAAAAATTATCTTCCTACCTGAGATTAGGGACCCTCCTACACTTACTTGAGACTCCAGCTATTCAAAGTTATTCTAAGTTCAGCTTTAAAATTCTTCAGCTTGCTGTGCTCATCTGATTAAACCAGCCTTTAGATGACTAAAATGTACTGTTTAGTGGTGTAAATATACTCATTTTCCTTATTCATGGTAGTAAGGTGCAGATAAAAATATCCTGTATTTGGATACAACCAAGGCAAATAGAAAAGTTTAAGGTCACTTCTTGATTTTCAGTAGGGCATTAAATTTAGAATATAGTGGGAACATTACCAGAACTTTACTTTTAAAATGGACTATGTCAGATCCTTAATTATGTTAGACATAATATATTGAAGATGATCACAGATATTTCTGCCATCAACTGGCAATCTCCCCACTCCAATAATATAAGTAATTTAAAAAAAAACCAAAAAATTCAGCAAATGCTTCAGTAAATTATTGTGATTAGATTTCTCAAATGCCATGGGAAAGTGAAGCCTCCTCTAGACTAATCCTAGAATATGCTGCAATTCCTCACTGAATTAGTCCAAGGATGTTGTCAAGGAATCACCATGGAATAAAACAGTGCTCCATGACCAAGTTCGAGCTATTTAAAATATGAGGTAAAGCACCACAATAATAATGGTCAAATTCATGACTCTGAGGAGACAGCAAATGTGAATATTGTGTATATGTTTGCAGTAAGATGCATTTTTTTCACTAAAACTATTTTAATAATAGAGTCTTGGATTATAATTACAAGTTTCTTAGCATAGTTATTTGCACTAAAAGAGAAAATGTGAAAAATGTGGCAAGTTTAATATAAACTATCAATTAGATAGATGGAACATTTTTGAAATCAGATGAAAATTATTCAAGGGTATCATAGAAATAGAAATGTAACGTATAGCAGAAATCACTACCATGTTAACATCTGTCAGTCACTATCACCTAGCAGTATCTCATAGATCACAGATTTTTTTTCTTCTGATTAAACCAGAGTGAAAAAGGGACCTTAGGCTTGAGTTAATGAGGATGGTAGTGCTGGATAGTAATAATCCAGTCAATAGGGAGCTAAGAAATATGCAAACTACTACAGGTGAGTTTTACTCAGCTGTGTAGCATAATTTAGATGAACAGTCTTACAGAAGGGAATTCTATTCACATGAATTTTTATAGTTTTGGACATTTCCCTAATAACTGCATTATCCTAGACCCCTTAATTCAAAACCATACATGACACATACTTACTGCAATTTTTCCTGAACAGACAGGCAGACAGATAAAAGAAACTCTCATCTTTCTGGTGTCAGTCTAAAGAGCATCCCTTTGCATAGGACTGTCTCAAAAGGTGTCCCAAAGGAGAGATTTGTTGGATTATTTCAGGCTCCTACTTATAAAGGAATTGCTATCATACCACAGCAGAGTAAGGCTTAATTAAATTCTTTTAATTTATTTGGTCAAAGTTCAGTTGAAGATATTAATGTTGAAGTCCACCGAATAGTAGCTTATTGCCATGCTTAAAAAGTGGAGCTTAGAGATAGAGCCAGCTTCTTGCTTTTGAGATGCATAAAATAAACTTTGACATTGTGTTTCTAATAAATGTTGCTGGAAGTGCACTAGTTCATTCCTACTGGTTCATAAGGATGATCCAAATTGTGCTTGAATTTAAGACTTCTTCTTGTACCTTATCTATTCAAAAAGTTATGTTGAAAATCATGATAAGATCTAACACTACAGCTGTGAAAAATATACTTAAAAATGGGAAAATGGAGTCTGCAAATGGAAGTTCTACAAATAACCAGACTCAAATGTCAAATTAAAAAGCCAAACTGTCCTTCTTAAAATCTTTGTGGATGTTCACCACTGATCAATTTCCTTAAGTTAGATATTTTATCTACAACTTTGAGAGGTGACCAGGAAGATGATACCTAGAGCCAAGCAATACTCAGCCAAGATGCTGGCCAGAGACCATGCATTAGTCCATCTTCTTTGATATTATTGGCCTGACTGGGCTAATCTGGGCCTTAGAAACAGTGAGCGACCCCAGAGTGACACACGTGGTAAACAGAGCCAATCCTTCACATTGGTGATGGTCATGCTGCTTTTAAAAATTGTTTTTTGTTTGTTTGTTTTATTAAGTGATCTGGTTTGGCAGGATGTTGTGTAAACAGGATTATTGTATGGGCAGTAGACAAGACCATTGAGAAGCTTAGGTCTCAAATTCAGTTTCTGGAAAACTTTTGAAAAAACTGCACACTTTCAGTCACCACATTTATTTCTGAATTAGGCTCTAAGCCTGAACTGATACATTGCCCTGGCAAACTCCCAAAGACTACCTCGTTTCCATTTCTGAGTAACAGTAACACTTTTTAATTTCATGGGAATGTTGTAAAAATTAATTAATTAGTCACCTGACTCTCCTATGTGTGCCTATTAAAGGCAGCAAGGATAATATTTAACCAGTGGGTCTTAACCTAAAAGATTCCAAGCATTTTGGCACTGATCCAAGGAAACACTTCAGCATAGCTTTCCTGGACCTGGACCAGAGCATTCAACATCTTTCAGGATCAAGTCAAGTGTCAATAGGATGAAAAGCAATATAGACAGATCATGATTATTATTTATTCCCTGACTGATCCTGAGGGATGGTGACTCTTCCCCTCACCAAGTGATGAGTGCCTTCAAGTGAATAGCTTCCTTGTTATTTGTCTTCCAGCAGACTTTAACAACTGTAGAAAAAAGAACACAAAATCCCACCACCCTATATCTCCAGGAAATTTACTACCAAGAATAAAGAAGGTAAGAGATGTCAAAGTATATAAAAACTGTTTCAAGAGATATTTTAATATAGATGTGATGTCTAATTTCAAGAATTTTGGTTTTTATTATGAGGACTCTAGAATTCAGAGAGCTTTCATCACAACCTATCAGATGCCTTTTAAAAGAATTCCCAGAAAAGAAATAATTTTACCCTTATTTTGTATCAGAATAATTAAATGCATCACTGGTGATCTCAAACACATCTACTCACAACATCCCAGGCTGTTTCATAATGAATCACATCTGATCCCAAAGTGACCATTCTGCAAAACCCTGTTAGGAAATTAACTGCAGGCCAGGGAGTGGTACTAATCACACAACCAGACAAGACCACAGCTGCCCAGCTTAGCTGTGTAGCTGTTTTTCCTACTGAACAAACCGGGAAGTTCTTCCTACCGAGTGAAGCTTCTGGTAGAGGCCACACGCGTTGCATACATATCCACCATTTGCATTCTTTCGCCAGAGAGAGGTCTTTGTGGTCAGGCAATTGGCACAGAAAACACCCGAGCCTCTACGTCTCTGAAATAGGGAAGAAAAAGGGAAAAAAAACAGGTCAGAGGTGAGTCACATGAGCTGTGGAGTTAGGACAAATCAACACAGGAGTTTTGTCTCTAGACTGGCAACAATGACAGTATAAAACCACACTGCCCATAATGAGGTCAGGTTCAATTGTGCTTAATAGGCACCACTGATTTTCATTATAATTAACCCCAGAGTGATGGATGAGGTGTGTGAAACACCAAAGCCTTTTCAGAATAACAACTTTAACTTTTTGAACTTCAGGTTTTGTGCATTTAATGATAGTTTCTAAACAGCAAATTCTGAAAAAAAACCAAAACCTTAGAAGCTGACAGAAGATTGTAAACTCTCCTGGTTTCAAAACAGATTATTTCTTTTTAGCTAGCTTTATTTAAAGTGTGATTGGTAACAAGAATTCTGAAATACCACCAGTTCAATTAATTACAGTTTGTACCTGTGTCATACTAATTTCTTTAACAGAGATTATATTGAATACATGACATTCAGTTCCAGTCTTTTACACTTATTTCTGAGATCAGTATAAGCTACCATATATACCTGCAGCCTGCTATGAGCAAATAAAATACAGTATTCTATAAAGAGACCTCTTTTGAACTTCATTTGAAACCCCAGAAAACACTGTCTCATCAACAGATAGATTTATTTATTTTATTTTAGTCAGGCGAAGAAGGGCACATTACAGCTTGCCTAAATACAAATTGATTTTAACCAGACTGAGCTGTGCATTCATCAGCTTTCATAATGATCCAGGAATATTTAAAAGTCGGCATGTTTATGAGAATTGCTCATTAAATTTTTTCTATGGAGTAATGATTTCATTAAACTTCTCATTTAAACAAAACTCAGGCTATGTTTGTGGGCCCAAATACTAATAAGCAGGAAACGGAATTTTTTTGCAGAGAAGAAAAACCAAATTTTAACTCTGTTCCCTTTTTGCAAAGGGAAAAAATGATCAGGAAGAAACCTTCAGCATGTAAGATAAGAATGAGTGACTACATGGAAAACAGTCTGGGTGAAAACTAATTTTATTATAAATTAGAAATTACTAACACTATAAGTAAAAATTTCTGAGTTTCATAAAATTTAAGTAATTTATTTAACTTTAGTTCATACTGTGGAAGACTGGTGTTCATGCCAAAAAAATACAATGGTTATAATTGTACTCTGATACATTTCAAATGGAAAGCTTTCTGCAGACATAATTTTGGCTTCAAGACTGGAACACTTTCTTGGCATCGAAAGGGCATTTGATTCATCGGGTGTTTCACAATGTATCACTAAAAAGACCTGGTGAGCAGCCAGTTCCCTATAGGGTAATTTTTCCATCCAGATGCAAGTGCTATCAGAGGCCCTCGTCAGCTAAACTAATTATGATCTTGCATTTGCTGATGCCTGCTCACTCTAACGTTCGACATCCTCCATTAATCATCAATACAAGGAAAATGAATGAAACGTAAAGAAATGAGGGCTGGTAAGCTGCACAGCCATAAAAATCTGAAATGAGTGCAATAATTTAACAAGATTGGGGAAATGTTTTTAGTGAGCACAAAGTCAGGCTAACAATTGCCCTTTTAAACCAAGAACACAATTTCATTTGTAGAGCAGATTGAACACCAAAAAGGTTGAGCATACTTTAAAGTGATAAAATAAAATCAAGATTGACATCAAGATAATCTCTCTCTCAACCCCCTTACATCATCCCTTACTTTGTCTCTTAAGTCAGATGCAGTAGTATATGACATTTTTGTCACTGTAGCCAAGAGGACAACTGCATGGTAATTGATGTCCTTCAGCAAAAATCTAACTAGTTGTGCACAAAAGATGCAGCTCACCCTGGAACGTTGCACTCATCTACAAGTACATAGAAGATCCCAATTCTTTTTGTGGCTGGATATCCTTGACCAGCTTTACCTGGCTGCTGAAATATTTTCCATAAGAGTACAATAAAAGTCTCACTAGACTAATTCCAATTTGGTCCACTTGGAGGGTGAGAAGTTTCCAGGCGGAAATGACTTTATACGGCCAGGATTCAGCTACAACTGCAGAACTGTTCCTTTTCATTCCTGCTTCTTGTCTGCTGGCCTACAGTTTCTTGGTGTGGTGTATTAACCAAGTGGAGTTGGAATCTGAATCAGTCTTTCTACTGCTTTATTTCTGTTTGTGTTCCATGAGTTTGGGAAATACCCTCTACAAATTCATGAAACACTACTAAAATATAGAGAGAGCAGTCTAGTTTGTATGCTGAATTTCTACACACCTGAAGGGAGACAGAAGATAAGGTTACACAGAAGTCTTCATTAAATGCAATGGAGCTAGTATATCTACAAAACATTGACAAAAGCAACTCATTTTTCTCCCTTTTCTAAAGAAAGATCTGATTCAAATTGGGTATTAGTTGCAGTGAAATCATATAATGACTACAGCTGTCAGCAACCTACAAAATACATAGTAGTAGCTGTATGTATTGAAGTCCTAAACCTCTGCTTATTCACTACTTACAATTATTTATCTGTTTAAAATTTAAAGTAGTTCAGCTAAACATCCTTCCCTAAATTTAATGCAAACTATGTAAATCCATCATTTGTAGTGTTTTAAGTGTTGTATCTTATCTTTCTTTACCTTCTCTTATTTGTCTATTATTTAAGGACCTTACAGGATAATCAACATTGATTATTTCAGTACCAAAGTGTTTCAACATAGCTTATATATACTAATCAATGAGGAATAAAAATGCCTCTGAAAAAATGTAAATGCTGCTACTTTGTTGAACATATTGGTTATGAAAAAACTATTTAAAGTGGGGACACACAGCTTTAGAATGGATTTCCTGACACAAAACAGAACTGTGGCAGATTTGGACTAAAGATTCTTGACTCTCAGATGCTACTAACCACAGAATGGATCTGCTTGTCAAAATATACCTCAGAAATGTTGATGTCTGCAAGAAAAAAATGGAGGGCTTTTTTAAAAGCCTACAAAGTAGTAATCCTATTATCTTAAAGAAATACAGTTTCTTAAAAAGAAAAACAACGAAAATCTAGGCCTTTACTTCCCATATACCAAGTTTTCTAAGTTATTGGTCAGCAGAAATGATTTAAATTTTTTTGTTGCTAAATGTTCATTATCAATTCTACTATTAGTGATGGCACTTCTGCATGGGTCTGTTTGGTTTTGCACACTCATCACTTGAACTAGTCTATAATACTGGCCAATATTGCTGCTTTTCTGGGTAGCCTTGCAAAGAAACAGGCACATGAGCTCAAATCCAGCAAAACCTGTGCAGCAGCTATTGCCTACAGCTCCCACAAAACCCAGCCATGGGCTCAAGTGCTCTGCTAAGCACCACCATCAGCATTCTCAAGAAATATGTTGAACTTCTGCTCTCCTTAACACAGTTAATTTCTTAAATCAGCATAGTAGAGGTAGGTAACATGACTAGTCATGAGAGAGCCTGAGCAATAGATAAAAAGGTTTCAGTCTGTGACCAATGCCACTAGCACTAGCTGGAGTTATCAATGAAAATGTCATGTACATCCCTGGAAGAATAAGTCAAAAGGGTCTAAATAACTAAAATACGTATCTACTCGGTCAAGCTTTAATCATCTGGAGCCTTACAGCCACTACATTACAATCCCAAATCCTGAAGGAGCCAGTGCAGAGAAGAGCCTGTCTCTATTTCCATTCCAGTTCCGAGGTCCGGGCGTTTAATATCACAGTTGTCTCAAATCACATTAGGCTGAAACTTGGCGTAGGTTTTTGTCAGCCCAGATGTTTGTTTTTTTTTTTCTTTCTTGGTACTGAAAACTTTATTTCAATCAGTTCAGCTGTTTGTAATTTGGAGATTGGCCAAACTGGGGGGTGGGGGGAGAGGAGATTTCAAGTTTTTCAGATAACTTTCTAACAAATCTAGAGTCAGAGTGGCTTTGCTCTGGTGAAAAAAAAGTATGCACACATTTTAGTATTTTAGTAGTAGCAAAGGAACAAGTGGATTATTATTTTTATGTAGCTAAGTTATGAAAGTTTGTAATTATTCACTGGATATGTCTTGCAGACCTCTACTAACTGTTTTCCCTCAGTAAGAACCATGATGAAAGCATGTAATTGCATAACAACCCTTGATATGCAGAGTATTTACTCACATTTTTTATGGTTTCATATCTTGACCATTTCAAATTGAACAAGTCTGAAACTTGGTATATACAGCGTCAAGCCCAAATGCCTAATTTTTTTTTTTAACTCCTTAGATGATTTTTGCTAGTTACCAATACTTCATTGAAAGAAGGCAACTATTAGTAGTCCTTTCTGCTAAGCAATAAACCAGCAGAGAATATGATAACAAGTAATTCACTCAGCTGTCTTGCCAGGCTCAGGCCCTTCTTCATATAAACTTTTGATTTTAAAGGATTGACTCTACTATTCACATGATCCAAACTTAGCAGCCATGCAAAAGAATACCTATGCTCCATGTTATACAAAAGGTATTTCACAATATACTGAACTTTCAGGGATTTTTCAGTGGAACTTCATGTAGCAAAATATATCCTGTAAGAGCACAGCCAAAAACACTTCTCAGGAACTGTGACTTTTTAGCTAGCTAGACTAAGCAACAGTGCCTGACACTCTCCTAGTGCCAAATACATCCTGTTTTCAAAATTTCTGCCAGAAGATGCTTTTAGAAACTCAAATAGGCTCCACAAGCAGGAGCCAAGCATTTTTCTTACATCACCCTCTTGGTTTAGAACAGAACAAAAGTTGTCTTATTGCTGATTACTTTCACTTCCCCGACATAAAACGACGATATGATGAGGACTGAGTGGATTTTTTAGCATCTCTGGCCTCTCTAATGTGCCAGAAACAGAGCACACTGTAATCATGGCTCCAGAACATGAGGTGCAGTGAAATCATAAGTGTTGCCCAAGAATAAGCATGTGCCTGACCTATTTCCAAAGATGAAGTTGGGGAATATAACCACACATGCC